GACAACAGAACACCACAGCAGAGCACGCTAGCTAGGCGGGTTGAGCAGGTGTGTCGTTTTCCGTCACATTCAAACAAGCAATGCGGTCAAAGAAAAAGGGACCAAGTTGTCAAAGGTCAATTAGTCAGGTACCTCACCACAGGTGAACGTCCCTTCCCACGACATGCCGTTGGAAGTAAATCTCAAATGACCCACAGGAGCCGGGTCCAAACATCGGGCGAGCAAACGGTATCACTGGTTGACGATCACGGCGGCGTCCGCCGTCTTTGTGCGTAGTGCCTACAAATTATTCATTGCTCATGGCATTTGGGTGCAGATAAGTGGTTAACTTGAAGAAGGAGACACGATCGCCGGGACAAGAGCTTTATTAGCCTGACGTTTCGGATTCCTACTCGAATCCATCATCAGAGACAAAAGAGCAGAAACGGGTTAACTTTCAAGCGTGTGCGAACGAAAACATGGTCGGACGCATGGGCGTTACCAGGTTCGGAATCACGCATCGATCTGATGTTGTGACCCAACTGCGAAACCCCGAATCAATTAGAACGTACTCAATCTGACTGGCCGTGTGTTTGAATACCTTGGCTTTTGGTCGAATACCAGGTCAGCAGATGTTTGCAGCTGTGCGGGCAGCATGTGTCGGTAAGAAACAGTCAGTTCTGATACACGAAATCCATAAAGAAGGAGGCATGATCGCTGGAAAAAGAGCTTCACAGCACTTTATAGAGTAGTCGGCGTGCTAGGTTTCAACCTTTCGTACCCTACTATCATCGACGCCGTTGGTCCGCGACTGCCACGTCCAGGCCCCGACAACAAACCGCAGATCACGACGAGGCACTCATTCAACTAAGTCCTGCAGCTGTGAGTCTCTTTACCGCGCTGTCCGGCAGCTGATTTTAGTGCGTACACAGAGACGACAATTATGTTAGTAAAGTGGTCCTCCGATCGCACGTAACCCACCCAGCGTACGGTTTGCTTGTTCCGAGGGGGCGATGGCCACACCGCGTCCACTGTTAGAGTCGCTTGGGCGGGTGTGATACAGGGTGAAGTGGGAGTTGACTTCCGTAATCTTTATTTCGCGAGCGCATTGAGTTGGGGAATTCTGACTTTGGACAGACGGCAGACATCCGCATTGTACAAATGAAGACGATGCGTCATCAGACGTTGGGTACCAGCGTCCAGAAACCATCGCACGTCCCAGGACCCAATGCCAAGTGTCTGTTCCCCCGGTTGAGTAGTTATGCTCGCGTACTACTCGCCCGCAGCAATGGACAGGTTTGCGGTTCGCGTCGGTTCCTGCGGACGCCGTAGCCTGTATAGTGTATTTTTGGGATAATAGGAAGTGCCCTTGATGACCCTATCGAAAACAGTACATACAATATAAATACTAAGTGCACATCTTACTAAAACGTTGCCAGTAAGGTGTTTGTTTACGGAAAACGTTTTCACAATGCGGGACTGCGGGTGCGGCAGGCGGTCTTTTCAATGTACATATGAAATTTTATGTGTAATTATATACAATCAGCATAAGGTGCAATCATTTGCGTAGTTTGAAAGGGAAAATTTCATTAAACGTTAGGGATGTGTTACATAGGGATTAAATCAAGAAATGAACTTGATGGCTGGCCGCAGATAGTCCTGCAGTGAGAGTCGTCGTTTATCGCAGATCAAACGATCCAGCAGCCTTTTGAATACAGCCATTGTGTCAGATGTCACTATTTCACTTGGGAGTGAGTTCCACGGTCGAACAACACGATGGCTGAAGGAAAAATTCCGATGGTCTAGGCGTGTACGCTCCCGCTTGACTTTGTACGGATGACTGCGCAGGTGACTCATGGTCGTGAATTCAAAGAAGTCTTCAGATTTGAGCAAACATTCGTGCCCGTGGATAATTCGGAATGTCCATAACAGGTCACGCCTCACTCGTCTATAGGATAGGGGAAACAAGTTTAGCTGGGTCAGTCTTTCTGGGTATGACAGAGTCCTGAGACCGTCTACCAGTTTTGTGGCCCGTCGTTGAACCTGCTCTATGGTATCACTGTCTTTCTTCATCCACGGCATCCATGATGGCATTCCGTATTCCAAATGCGGTCTGACGAACGTGCCGAATATCTGTGAGAAGAGTTCGAGAGGAAATGTTTTGAAGGCACGCCTAATCCAGTGCATGATGCTGGTTGCCTTTTGGACGACTCTTTTGCAGTGCTGGGAGGGCAGCAAGTTTGAACATGTCCAGACACCTAGGTTTTTGTGCGTGTCCACTTCTTTTAGTGGAATCCCACTTATGGTGTACTGGTGTTTTGGGAAGCGCCTCCGACCAGATTCTAGTCGCAGGACTGCACATTTGGATACGTTAAACGCCAGAAGCCACTTGTTGGACCATGCAGCCAACTTATTAACATCTTCCTGTAGTTTCTGCGCATCGTCAACGCAGCTGACTGTTTTCCATGATGCCATCGCATCCAAGGTGGCATCATGGGCCGAGATACTGCAGTCTGACATTTTCACGAGGTTTCTTGGGGGATTTTGGGTACATGCACCTCCCCAACAGTCGCTCGTATTGTTTCAGGTTGTTTCTAGGCTCAAGAACCTAGCCACAAAGCAGCGATGGCAAGCAAACTCAGTTAGCGACGATTCACGGTCGCCATGTCACGGTGCCATCATCGGGCATTGCAGTCGCGCCCTGGTACCATTGATGCTGCTGGTCTGCGACGGCCCATTAACCGGATCCGAGAACCTGTTTATTGCACAGCTAACCTTCGCCACCCCTGGATGCTCCATGTAGCCACCAGCTATGCTAACAGGCAAACCGTCTCCCCGCTTAATCCCCAACTGGCCCCGCAAAAAAACATCTAGAAACGTTACTGTCGCCAACGTTAGTACAAGGATCCCCACCCCACACAGCTACGACACAGGTACAGTACTCGACTTATCACACGAACTGTTAACCGAAATGTTTGGAATGAATTTTCGATTAAAACTCACCGCATAGGCCGGTTTGTAGTGATTATCATGTAACATGATCCCAAGATATTTTAGTCACGCCAGGAGGCCGGCTTTTGAGTGGGCTCCGTTCCGGCCGACTTTAAAGACTCGGAGCAATCTGTAGAAAATTACTGCTTATGGAGCAAGAAAAGTTTTCCCACTAATTTTTCGATGCCCGTATGAATTTAATTATATTTTATGGAAAATGTGCACAAAATATTCTTTTTTCGCACCCATATGGCAGCGAATTACGTCTTCTTCAAATCTTTTCCTCAAAAGGAGGGCATCTTTCGGTTTAAAAAAGCCTTTTTTAAATTTCTATGCAATTTTGGGCCTAGCTAACAGCTGCGCTCAGGGTTAATGATATACATGGTGTATACTTTTCATGTAATGAAAATCATAGATTCCCCGTGCCATTAAGAAGATATCATCTGAGCCACGCAAAATTCTGCAAATATGGACCACATCGCATGCTTTATAAGCAGCACAAATAAACGGACGGACACGATATTGTATGAATGGAAATTTCACGACCCCAAAAAATCTCATAATTACAAGCTCTTCTAAACCGAATGCTACTCACATTTCGAGTGTACAACCTCCAAATGTAATTTTCCATCAAATGCGTGGGGGGGGGGGTAATAGTATGTTTGCGCATGCTTTCCGTAAAATATATTTGAATTTACACGGGCGCCGTAGAAAAATAGGAAATTTTCATACTGCCTTAGTGGCCATTTTTTTTACCGAGTGTCGGCAGCCGGAGAGAAGCTGATTCAAAAACCAGCATCCTGGTGTGGTTGAGAGATCTCGAAATTATGTTACACGATAGTTAGTAGTAAAGAAGTGACAATTTCTAAGTTGGAGTATCTACCAGAAAACAGACGGGGAACGCTGGGGGACCCACGGATGAGCCGAACCGTTTGCAGCTGCGCCATGCAGCGGCAGAATATCGGTGAAACACGCGTGTATGAGCTTTTGGCTAGTACCTGTGCTGTTAGTATGGTATCACCTTACGCTACAATATACTATTAGCTACCTGTCGGC